GACTTTTAGAAGAGTTGAATAAGTGTACTTATAGCGCTCGTCGTATAATAAAAGATTGTGAGCTGGTCAATCATGCGCGAATCGTTTTATATGATGATATTTCTCGACTCGATGATCCCCGTAAGCTGTCTGATATTTCTCATAATGTAGGGTTTTATTTCCACTTCAGTCTTGTTTGATTATTTGTTCCTATTTCAGTCAAAGCACTCAAGCGTTTCGAGGTAAAGAAAAAACAGCCGACTGGTCCACTGGAAGACGGATCTGCTCCTCCCCCACCAGGCGGATCCGGATCGAAGTCGATTTCTGCCGCAAAGCGATCTAAAACCCCGGGGCCCAGCAAACGTAAGAGGCCTCAAGACGAAAAGACCCCTTCTCTTTTTCCTGACGACCTGAATCGCCGTAAGGTCGATAAGGGCAAGGAGAAGGTTGTTGAAAAAGGCGTTGCCTCTGCCATCACCTACAAGGATGTGCTTGTCAAGATGTCGTCCCGACTCTGGAATCACCCGGAGCTGCATAAGTTGGCGAGATACCTTCATTCTCTACTCCCCGAAGCCGACCAGGCCTGTGTCGAGGGGAATGATTATGAGCGTTCTTGCTACGCCACTCAATGCCTTACTCGGGTATGTGTTTTTGTACTTGAGTTTAGCGTTCATGTTTTATGCATTCTTATATTATGTTACATTTTATTATTATTTTGTGTAGTTCTTAGCAACCATTCTTCTCGGCCTCGAAGCGGGTACCAAGGCCCCTACTTCTTCTACTAAGGCCCTCGAGGACAAATGCGAGGCGCAACTTAGAGAAATCGCCAAGCTGAAGGCGGATTTGGAGGGGTCAAAGGCCTTGGTGTTGGAACCCACGAGGATCTCGATATGCACAAATCACAGACAAACATTCAACATAAACCTATGCGCAGCGGATCTAAAGGTTTGATGAAGAAAACTTACTGCTTAAAATTTATGTAGATCTGGCTGGCCCGGACAGTTGACCGCAAATCAAATCTTCTCGGAATCGAACAAACTTGACCAATCCAGAAAGCTAACGTCACGGCAAAGTCAACGGCGTTGACCGATCGGAAAACGGAGGCTTCACGCGCTCTCACGCGCGCGAGTGATCGACCAGCAGCTGCTCCTTTCGGTGGCGCGTGGCGGCGCGTGCGGCGTCAGACTGCGGCGATCTCGACGGCGATCTCTTCGTCTCGTCGTCCTGGTCGTCGTGGTA